TTATGGCCTTTTAGAGGAAATGGCATTACTTATGGCTCATCATGGCCCATTAGGGTTAGAATGAATCATTCTAGGCCCAAATGGTCCAAAATGTTATAGATTTATGAATTGGGTCCAAGTAGAACTCAATTAGGGTATTTAGGCCCAAAATAGTCGAATTGAAGGCTTATTGGCCCATTAGGCCCAATAAGAATACCCTAGTCCACAATAAGCTTGAACCGGGATTTTTAGGGTTTTCGACTCATTATTGACTATTTGGATAGTTTGTATAGAGTTTTGAGCTTCACTTCTGAAATTTGATTAAGTTTATGGTCATAGAATGAACATAGTGCATGGTATCAAGTTAGAGTTACAATATTATCATAGATGAAGTTTACATGATCACAAAATTTCTTGGCAAAAATGCAAGTTAGAGGGAATTTCATCCCGAAATTCTTTTGAAAACAAGGATTATGAAGGAGAGAATAACTGAGGGTACTTCTGCTTCATTTGATCTTCGTGTTACCATGTGAATTCCGGTCCATGCTTGGCATTCCATCGTACCTTCACAATCGGAATGCGGATTTGCTTTGTACACTTTACTTACCTATCCAATACATCGACTGGTTCTTCGACGAATAGGAGATTCTCGTTGATCTCTAATGTCATAAGTCTCATATGATAGGTACTTCTTCAAATTCGAGATGTGGAACACGGGTTGTACGTTGCTGAGCTCGGCAGGTAGCAGCAGCTTGTAAGCCACTGGACCAATCCGAGCAAGAATCTTGAACGGTCCAATGTATTGCGGGTTCAGTTTTCCGCGTTTCCCAAAGCGGATCCTTCCTTTCCAGGGAGAGACCTTCAATAACATTTGATCTCTGACTTGAAATTGTAACACCCGAAATCCAGAAGACCCAGAAAGGAAGAAAAACCCTAAGTCTAAGTGGTCAACTAGTCGAGTCGAAGGAAGAACTCGACGAGTCGGAGCATGTCCCAGATCGCAGATTAAGTGACCGACTCGACAAGTTGGGGAGACTGATTCGGTGAGTCTGGTCTGGGTTTGGAAACCTTAATTTCGGGACTTGGTGCCCTATTTAAGCAACATTTCAAGCCTCCACCCCAGCCTCCATCACTCCCCTCACCTACTCTCGAAACCCTAATCAACCTTGTGGATTATTGAGCTAGTTTCTTGCCTTTGTGAGTGATTTGAAGCTTGGAGAAGGAAGGAGACTCTTAGTGGTGCAAGAAGGAGCTATAGATCTAGATTTGGTGTGGCATTTCAGATCATTTGAAGGTATAAAGCTTAGACCATGGTTGTTAATCATCAAGATTCCCTTTCTAGCTTGTATTTTTCCCACATTTGGGCCATTACCAAGGTTAATCCGAGTATTAAACCCTTGAGAATGTATTGGGTTTCATATTTGGGCACCCGTGAGGTTTAGAAGCTCAGAGTTGCTAGCTTTATCCAGCTATGGCTCCATTTCATGCCCTAGACCTTCATTTTAGCTTGTATTAAGAGTTTTAGCTCCATAGCACCTTGCATGCACGTAAAGTTAGCAACTTTACGTGTAATGCTAGCCTTAAGAGTCTAGATCTATGAGTTGAAAGCAATGAAATGGACTATAATCGACAGAATTGAGATGTCACAAAGCGGAATCGGCAAGTGGGTTCATAGACTTGGCAAGTCGGGTTGCAAACCCAAATCCACTGTGGTTATGAGTTAGATCAGTGAGTTGAGTTGGTGAAGGAATCATCCAGTCTGGTTCCATATTGGGCATGAAGATCATAGTACTCGACGAGTTCGACGAGGAACTCGGCGAGTCCAAGGTCATCTCCTTAGTTATTAAGGTGGACTCGACGACTTGTTCATACAACTCGGCGAGTCGGTTGAGGATGGTCCTGAATTGTATGGTTAAAGGAGAACCATTGAGTTCTTGCTAGTCTCGACGAGTTAAGTCGGGGGTTGTGTTAGGGTATAAATGTTGTAATATGTCGAAGTGTTAGTTATGTTGTTACGAAGGATCTTTAGTCTTCGTAAGAAGGGTCTTCGGATGTAATGTTATATTTAGTAAGGGATTTTAATGAATAGTCTGAAAGTCTAGTCCTTAGTATTTTTGTTATTCACTACTAGAAAAAAGGCCTTTTACGACGCTCATTGCGCGTCATAAAACGCTCAGACGACGCGCAAATGCGTGTCAAGGAAGGCCCTATTATAAAGAGAGACGACGCGCATTTACGACGCGCATTTATGACGCGCATTTACGACGCACGGTTATGACACGCAATGCGTATCAAGGAAGGCCCTGTCATAAAGGAAGACGACACGCATTTGCGTGTCGTAACCTTACGACGTGCGTGTTTATGACACGCAATGCGTATCAAGGAAGCCCCTGTCAAGAAAGGCCATGTCATAAATAAAGATGACACACATTTTTGCGTATCATAATTTTAAATGTTTAAAAAACATATTATTTATAGATTTACTAATTTTTCATATTAAATAATACATTAGAAATCTCATAATAATAAATAAAATACCATAAATAACAAAGATAATTCATTTCACTAATATGTCAAATACAAATAATTATTCCAATAGTGAGTAAATGTTATAAAAAAGTGAACTCATTTATATACAACTAGAAGGGATCCCCCGCGTTGCGGGGGTTGGAAAGTATCGATTTTATGAGAAACTACAATACACCATCTTAATTGGTAGCCACAGTAAAGTATGTTGTTATTCTCTGTTATTCCTCCATTTCCAACAATTACAGATACCTACAAAAAAATCCAGAAAAGGAAAGCAATCATCGCTTTGTTTCGTAAACACACATACATGCATGCGAATCAAATCTTTTATCAGCTTTAATTCAAATCATTTTATTATAAATATTAAAATAGGACATGAATTCTAACCTTTCCCACATGCCTACAAGACAAGGGTATTTTAGGGAAAAACGACAAATAAGTATATACTGTTTTCTAAAGTGTATGAAGAGAGAGCATAATAAAATACCTTCTCAAAAAGTAACTTTGGGTTACAAATCACCGTATTGGGACACAATAACACAAATTGCATTAAATATAGAGGAAGTTAGAAGATAATGTAAATCCTTTTCTAAATTTTTTTGCTAATCCTGGTGTAATCGTGCACCTCCCCCAGCTAAGACAATAATGTTCAACCAATTATGACCGCTTTTTGTTCACTTCACAGTGGACCTAAGACAATACCGTCTGACGGACTTTTCTTTAATTATAAGGTGTACATCATGACATCTGGTGGTTAGGTGAACGACTTATTATTTTTTGTTTTATTTCAAAAAATTTCTATAATAAAATACGACAATAGGTTGATCCAAAATAAAATCCCAAGGGTAACATCAACTGAAATTGCAATAAATACAATTACACCAACAACCAAGAAGCAGGGGTATATTTGTCCGAAACACCCATAAATGAACATAAGCATCTAATACACATTCACTTAGACCCTCTGATTGTGTAAATGGAGGCTATTGATCCATCAAACTATTTTTCTACTACAACATAACATTTAGAAAGTAAAATAGAGGGAAATTTTTGAAAAACCTTACCAGATGTGGTATTGATGCAGGGAAAATGCTGATATTGTGTCCTTTTTTAGCACGGCCTGAAATAGAAGGAAACAAAATACTCATATAAACAACTAAAATTTAAACATGGCTATTTCCTTGTCGATTAATCTGGACAAATTGATTTTATGGTTTCAGCGAAACTAATATGATTTAATAGGTTAATACAATAACCCTTTACCTGTTTTCATTTTTTTCCCTCACAATTAATGAATATTAGAAATTAAAAATTTACTGTTATTCAAACAGTTTATTCTATAGAAGAAACAAACCTTATGTATACATAAATCATTACCCATACATGACTTAATAGTTCCTGTTTTCTTAAATTTTAGTTACTAGAAAAAAATATAATTTTTTAGTAAAATACATTATACATATGTGGAAGTTGATTACCCAAATAGGAAAATGTGTGTATCGCCGTTTGAAATTGGAAGATTTTCTCCCCTATCAATAGCTTGAAAAGTAAAATAAAGAGTGTTTAATTTGATATCAAAAAATAATAAACTAACCTAATTTTGAATATAAGACGAAAACACCCTCATCATATAGAATCCAATACCTTAGTCATTTTGACTTTAGTAGCTTTTGGCACAAATATTTTCCAAAGAGAACCCAAACTTGGTTTTCCAAAAATGCCCTTTTGCTTTTGTCCATGTCTAGTTTCTGAAAACTATACGAATATTAGTTTCTCTTAACTTGTCAGCAGACCTGTGAAAAGGAAATTTCTTTAGTTCTTCCAATGAGTGTTTGGAGTACCATTTCTGATATAACAGAGTATAGATTAAAAAAAGCTCACTTGTAAATTAATTCCATAGTCTGTTTAAAAAAATGATGCTAATGAAGTCCATAAATTTTCAAAAAGCATTTACCTTAGGGTGGCAAAAATGATCATGTTTTGATGCTAGAGATTGTGCCGTAAGCCTACAAGATCACCAGCAAGTGAAGTTAGAAGCATAATATTTATATTAAGAATCATCCTCAAACCCATTTATTTAGATGTAATAAATTTACTAAGAACCAAAATTAGTTTATCTAAGTAATAAATTTGCATTTAATATTAAATGCAAATTTAATTTGAAAATTAGTAAATCTATAAATAATATTTTTTAACAACATATTGAAATTATCATAAGAACGATAATACCCGGGCACTATTGGGGCATGTGTATCTGTGTTGGTTAATACCCGGGCAGATAGATCGGGCAGTTGTGATTCATTAGTTCCAAAAGTGGCAATTGGGCTGTGGCAAACTGGATACCACCTGAACACTATCACCGCATTCTTATCCTAATAAATATCAATCAGAAACTTATCAATAAGCCTAATCATTATCATTAAAGAGGGATAAAAGGAGGGAAGGGTAATTAAGTAACTAAACCTGGCACCAGTTGAAACTTATCAATAAGCCTAATCAGTGGCAGACCCTACAACACCATAACTGCCTTTTCCAACCACGTCTTGAACTTCATATCTTCCTGCCTCTCCATATTCGGTGAAGAACTCTCTTTCGAGCTGCATACAAGAAACAATTACTTGGTTTTTGTCAACAGTAACAGTCTTTAGTAAACAGTAACTTTAATTTTAAAATTAAATTTCACATTAGAAATAAAGAGATTTTACATCTTAAATGGGGTTGATTCAATATTCAAGATTCAAGGAATGGGGTTGATCTTACATTCTAAGGTGAAAAAGTTAATATTTTCAAAACATAATGGTTGTTTTCACATATAGGGTTGATTCAAAATTCAAGATTCTCTCTCTGCTCAGATTTATATTTACTTTTACTACTATAAAAACTTGTAAAATGTTTCTAAGAAGATAGTGTATGTGTGTATCAATCATTACTTTCCATGGATTCTTTCAGCAGAGAGACTATAAAATGTTTCCACCAATAGTAAATTGGGACAACATGGATTAGTCTACCAGGAGACCACAAATGGATTTCCCTGTTCAGGTATTGCACACTATATATATATATATATATATATATATATATATATATATATATATATATATATATATATATATATATATATATATATAGAATATAAGAAAACCATACCTCTTCAAGAAATCTAAATCGATGATAGCATACAAAACGAACATTTCCAACAAAGATTATTTTGAGAATGTGATGCATGTCAATGAAAAAAGTTTTTGCACTGCTTGCAATAGGAAAGAGATCAACAGAATCTGAGAGTTGAAAACAAATGATTAGTATAAGTGTAAAATCATAATTTAATTTACAGACTTACGCTTTTCACTTGCATAAACATGTATAACTCCATCTTCCATCTTGAAATGAGAGTTTGCAATCAAGTCCCATACAAGAATATTTCCATTTTGATCATCAGATATCAGCTCAGTCTGCACACCCAAAAACAAACCAATAAACCAAATTATATATAGGTAGATGGCCAAAAAAACAAATCTAATTTTCACAAGGAACAGAATCATGGACACCTGATTTGGATACAAAACCATAGTGTTAAAAGATTCAAAACTAGTAGAATTCAGCCAAACCTCTTCACCATCGAAGGCCAAACCAATAAACCAAATGAAACATATGGGATATGAAAAGCCATTGACTATTGTCTTAAAAGCTATAAGGGAACAAGTGGAAGGATCTGATCCCAGCTCAGAAACTAGGTGAAAAATTGCTGATTTGTTAAGCTTAAGAACAAATCAAGAACTTCTAATCGAAGCTGTTGCACTTGAAAACTTGAAGGAGAATGCTGAACAAGCAGAAAAGATTGGGGATTTGGAGTATATTGAAGAAATGATTGCTCTTGTTACACACATGCATGATTGCTTTGTGGAAATGAAACAATCAGAAAGCTCTAACCTTGTTCCAATTCCTCGAGACTTCTGTTGTCCACTGTTACTTGAATTGATGACAGACCCTGTGATTGTAGCTTTTAGGCAGACATATGAGCGGGGGTATATTCGTAATTGGATCGATCTTGGACTCAATGTTTGCCCTAAAACAATGCAAACTCTTGTTCATAATAATTTGATTCCTAATTACACTGTGAAAGCATTGATTGCTAATTGGCGTGAATCCCACAATGTTAAACTCCCAGATCCTGTAAAGCAGCCATTAAGGTTAACCTTGAATCAACCTACTTCACCTAGATCGAATGGAATCCATTAGGAAGATGCTTCTTCTCCAGTGCATCGTCATGTTCATTCATCTTCAGAAGATTCTGGAAAGGGGAATGAGTTTAATACGGTTGAATCCGGTGAGAAAAGTTTGGATTCCGGTGGACCTGGACCTGGACCATCTGGAGTGGATGAAGGATCACCACCAGAGGCACCTGCAATTGAGTCGTCTTCTTCAGCTCCGGCAACCGCTTACAACAGTGATGCTTCAGGGGAGCTGGCGGCAGAGCCTCAGGCTGCCATTGCTGCTTCCCAGCATGCAGTTTCACCTCGATTTGGAAACAGAGCACGAAACCAAATATGGCGGAGATCATCTTTTGGGCCGAGAGTTGTTTCTTCTGCTACTGAAGCGAGAACTGATCTCACGGAACTCGAAACGCAAGTGAAGAAATTGGTCAGCGACTTGAGCAGCGCTTCCATTGATACAGTCAGGAACGCCACCGGTGAACTCAGATTACTTGCGAGACAAATGAAATTGAAAGGTGAACTCAGATTATTTGTGGGATCAAAGATTTGGTGATATTGCGATTTTGTTGTGGGAGAAAAGAGGATTTGTGATGATATTAGGGTTTTTTTGGGTATTAGAGTAACAATGGCGGCATTTCAAACTTTTGGGATTTTCTTTCCCCCCAGCTGCAAAAAAAGAGAACGCGCCTTTCATTCAAAAAATATAAAGCGACATTTCTAGACGACGCCCATTATTAATTAAGTGCCCTCCATGTTTTTAATTTTTTTTCTTGGACATTAATTTTAGGGCATGCACAAAAGAGTGACCTCTATCCTTCAAAAGTGTGAAGAGATGACATTATTTTTAGAGCGCACGCTTTTGCGTATCGTAAATCACCGCGTGTCATTGTTTGCGCGTCATTAAAGGTTGTTTTTCTAGTAGTGATTGTTTTGTACGCCTATAAATAGGAGTCTGTACTAAGTGAGAATTTAACTTTTCACACACTTTTTACAGAGAATTCATTTGTACTCTGTAAAATCGAAAGCATAATATGAGCTGAACAAATATTATATTTACTCTCGTGTTCATAGTTTTTCTTCTTTCTGAATTCTTAATTGAACTCGATTAAAATTTTCATCAATTGGTATCAGAGCAGGAATCCTTTCTGTGATCTGATTTTCATACGATTAAAAAGGTTTTTGAATCTACTGTTTGATTCAAAAAGTTTTCGTCCTTTTTGAAATTGAAAAATTCTTCTTGATCTCAATCTAGGATTTGATTCTGCGAAAATAGTTGTTAATCGAGTGTTCGTTGTGTAATTCTGAATTGAATTATACAATTTGATTTTCAAAATTTTCAAAAGTTTTGTATCTTCTTGAAGTTTTTGTCCGTACAACAATGGCGTCATTCAATCTGAATTCGATGACATCATTTTCTCATTTGCTTAGATCATCCACAAAAATTCCAATGCTTATTCCAGAATATTATGATCAGTGGGCAGATCGTATGGAAGATTACTTGAACGGATTGGATGAAGAATTATGGAAATGCATTTCAGGAGAAATCAATCAACCTGCACAAGTTCAGTCAATCGGTATGTCTTCAAGCAGTTCCGAAGTTGATAATCAAACCGATCGTTTAAAACGTCTGGAGAAGAAATGCATGAGGGAATTAAGAGGTGCGTTGCCTCCTGTTGTGTACAATTTTGTCAGAACATGCAAAATAGCTAAAGAAATCTGGAACAATCTCAAAGACAAATTTCAAGGAAGTGAAAAGACGAAGATCACATCTGTGAAACAATGCCTGGTGGAACTCAAAGATTTCAGACAAAAAGAAAATGAGTCTATTGAAGTATACTATGATAAGTTCAACGAGTTAATCTATCGTTGTAATCATTATAGTATAATAAGGTCACCAATGGAGTACAATTTGATATTTGTAATGGGACTTCGAAAGGAGTGGAGCAGTGTGAGCATGATGGTGAAAAATCAACAGAGTTTTGATACTTCGACTTTGAATGACTTGTACAATCAACTAAAATCTCATGAAAATGAAGTTAATGAAATAGCTGAGGAAACTATCGCAAGTCTTGGTGGACCACTGGAACTAGTTTCGAAGGTTTCATAAAAAGAGAATGAAAAATCGAAGTCTGATGAACAAGAAGGTTTTCTAATGAATTCTGATGATGAGGCTGTTGCATTTTACTCAAACAATAGAGTAAAGAAAATTTTTAAGAGACCTTTTAATCCAAGGAAGTCATCAGATTCGAAGGGTAGTTTTGAGAACAAAAACAAACTGAATGAAAAGAAGAAAGAAATGAAGAAAGATTCGAGGAATGAGATGGAGCAAATGAAGATGTTATTGAAAGGTGATACAGGAATTAATTGCCATTATTGCTATGGAGCAGATCATTTGGCAGTAGATTGTTTGTTGTGGAAGAAAGAGGAAAAGAAAAATAAAACAAAGGATGAAGCATACTACACTGAGAAACTGGAAGAAGTAAAGAAGAAAGTAAAGAATTTGTCATTGGTGGCTCATGGAGAAACTGAATCGGATGGAACATATGAAATATGGTCTTCGGGTTCAGATGATGAAGAGATGAAAAATCCAACTCATGGAGCTTTGTATGCAAAGATGGAAGAAGATTCAGATGATGAAAAGACTGACGAAGTGTGTGGACAATGCTTCGTTTCGAAGTCTATTGACAGATCGCCCATGACTACCAAGGTACGTAACATTCTTGAATCTTTTAACATTCTAGTTTCTGAATATAATTCTGAGTTAGTATGTTTTGAAGAAACTGTTACTCACTTTGATTCAATCATTGTTTCTGCTAGCAATGAAGCAAAAAAGTTAACTGATCAATTATATTGATTACTTAGAATTGCAAGTTTCAAATATCATGGAGGATAGAGAAAAATTAGCTAAAGAAATAAACTTGTTGTTAGCACAAAGAAATATTTTCTGTAATTCTGCAAAAAGATTGTATGGAAAATTAACTGAGTTACATCATTCGTGTGAAATTAGTAAGGAACAACATAGAAAATTACTACCATTTTTAGCTTATGATAGAGCTAAGGTTGATAGTATTTCATATGATTGTGAAAAAGAAATTCTGATTTTAACAAAGTTCCAGATGATAAGTTTAGATATGGAATTGCTAAAGTCGAAGATTATCTTGATGCTAATGATTTAGTAAAAATTGTAAATGAGACCTTATTTAAATCAGAACAACTTCGAATTTTGAAAAAGACTGAGAATTCTACATGCAATTATGAAACTAATATTGTTGATATTGAAGATAATTCTGATAATATTAGTGATATTAGTGATTTAGAAGATGTAGATTGTTCTCAATTGTCTGTCATAAATGTAGCAAATTCATTTAAAGGGAAAGAAAAATGTGACGATTTATTAATGAAAATTGAAACTGATGAACCCTCAACTTCGAAAGTTTGTGATATGGAATATGTGGAAATACATGAGAGTCAAACGGATGATAGTGACAATGAGGAAGAAAATACAAACTCAGAGTCAATTCAAAGGTCGGAAGAAATTGAAATTCCTCGAGTGGTTGTTGATCAAGTCTATTTGGATACACAAGAATTTGAGAAAATTCTTAGTGAAAAAGGTGCTCATTATCTTGAATCGAATACTATCGTTTATCCAGTATTCAAATGCACTGATGATATTGTGTTCCCAAATCAAGTCTTCGTAACAACAGGTAATGTTGAAAAGATAAAGCCTGAATTCAAAAAGATGGTTGAGGAAGACAACATGCAAACATCAAATGAAGGATTCTTTTCAAATCAAAGTACAGTTGAAAATAATCTTACAAAGAATTCATATAAATTTCAACATCAAAAACCAAAAAGAGTATGGATTGAAAAGTCAAAAGTTGAAAAGAAGGAAGTTGTCCCAACTGCAAATGTGTTTACAAAGCACGGAGGTGTTAAAACTAATGTTAAAACAATTAACAAAGCAATAAAATTAAATTCAAAAGAATTTAAAGCTCAAGTTGAAGATTTTTCAAAAGAAAATAATATTTCGAAACGTCAAGCAAGAAAAACAATTTTTTGGCAAACTGTTGAACCATAAAAAATGAGATCAACAAATTTTTCAAAAAGATGAAAAGTTTTTAAAGAGAAATCAAAGTCTTAAAGTTTTGAAAAGAAAAGTGCTTCGTTTTCAAAGAAATATTCAAAAGTTTCAAATGAAATAAAATCTACAATACCAAGAATTTTTTTTCAGAAAAGGGTTGAAATACAAACTTCAAAGTTTCAAAACAAGACATCTTATCATTATTCATATCTTTCAAAACCAAAAGTTGATTATGTTCCAAATTCAGCAAAATGTTATAATCCTTTGAAGAAACAAGCTGACAAAGTCTCATATGCAAAGGGAATAACAACAAAGAGAAATATTGATCATTGGTTGGAAGGAAAAGGAAAGATATACCAATCAAGTCAGTTTTCGAAAGAACAGATACATGAGGCGTATAACAAATATGCTAATCCTTCAACGAATGATAGTTCATCAACCAAAGAGTCAAATATATCAGTTAAAGTTTGGCAGCCGGTCACAAGAGTAAAAAGTGAAAAATCACAAACTCAAGATGCGAAGGGTGAAATTAGTGAAAATTTGAAAATAATAAACACTCATATATCTGACCCTTCGAATGAAAATGTTAGATTTATTGACAGTTTCAAAACCAAAGTATGTGATTGGGTTAATGGTTGTACTTTACATTTGAATCACAAACCTAATATGCATGGACCCAATAAAGCTTGGGTACCTAAATTTTTCCAATGATCGCAGGTACTTTGTGACGAGCAATATGATAACAAGTGGTATATTGATAGCGGTTGCTCACGTCACATGACTGGGAAGAAGGAAAACTTGCGTGATTTTCGAAGCCTAGAAAATGGAGGAGTGGTTAAGTTTGGTAATAATCACAAATGCAAAGTAAAGGGTTATGGGAAAATAACGAATGGAAATTTCACTATCAACAGAGTTGCATTTGTTGAAGGTTTACAACACAACTTGATAAGTGTTTCACAACTTGTTGTGGGCACTGGCAATCAAGTTCTTTTTAATGAAGAAGGAAGTGTCATTTCGAATGTTAAGACTAAGGAAGTTTTACTTATGTCAAAAAGAAAAGGTGATATGTTTACATTGGATATTGTTCCTATTGTAGGAAAACCTGATGTGTGTCTACTTTCGAAGGCTGCTGCCGATGTTAGCTGGTTATGGCACAGGAGATTATCACATCTCAATTTTCGAAACATCAACAAACTTGTCATACAAGATCTGGTAAGAGGTTTACCCATTCTTAAATATGATAATGACAGTCTGTGTCCAGCTTGTGAAGTAGGAAAACAACACAAACAAGGTCATCCTATTACAATCGATTCAAAGATTGTTGAACCCCTTGAACTCTTGCATATTGATTTATGTGGTCCTTCAACAGTTGGTACTCTTAATAAGAAAAGGTACATTTTGGTAATTGTAGATGATTTTTCAAGATTCATGTGGGTTTATTTTCTCAGGTTAAAATCCGAAGTTCCACAAAT